GACAGAACGATGAGAGACTTCGAGAAATACATCGAGGTATGGACGAGTTGCGTCCTTCAAGGTTTTTGATAACTGTGCGAATTTTATCGTCCGCACGCTGTCGCGTAATCAGATCTGTTGTAGTAAGGGCCCCAAGGAAACCATCGTCGTCCTCGGTGTCGTGGCCACAAACTTCAACAGGTGCACGGGATAACGAACCAGCATCTTCGTGCTTGCGGCCCGATTTGTAAGCGATCGTGAAATCGTATTCCTGCAGACGAAGACTCCATCGTGCCAGTCGCCCACACGGGTCCCGTAGGTTGGCTAACCAGCACAACGAATGATGGTCGGTCACTACCTTGAAGTGGCGTCCGTAATGGTAAGGCCTAAATTTCATAGTGGCCCATACAACAGCGAGGCACTCTTTCTCTGACGTGGAGTAGTTGACCTCGGCGCGGGAAAGAGTGCGGCTAGCGTACGCTATCACTCGCTCTGTGCCCTCTTGTTGTACGAGGACAGCACCAAGACCCACGTTGCTGGCGTCAGTATGAATTTCAGTATCAGCGTCTTGGTCAAAGTGAGCGAGGACCGGTGGTGTCTGCAAACGCTCCTGTAGTTCAGAGAAAGCTGCGTCCTATTTTTCCTCCCAGACGAATGGAACATCTTCACGAGTGAGTCTAGTGAGTGGTTCAGCAATCCTAGAAAAATTGGCTATAAAGCGGCGGTAGTACGCGCAGAGCCCCAGAAAGCGACGCACTGCCTTCTTATCACGTGGAACAGGAAACGAGGCCACGGCGGTACTTTTGTCAGGGTCTGGTCGAATACCATTCGCACTGACAACATGGCCGAGAAACTTAAGTTCCTTGTAACCGAAATGGCATTTTTCTGGCTTCAGTGTCAGGTTATCAGAGCGGAGCGCTTCCAGCACAGTCTGCAGACGCTTCAGGTGCTCCTCAAAGGTGGAAGAAAACACGACAACATCATCGAGGTAAACTAAGCAAGTGTGCCACTTTAGACCGGTAAGAACAGTGTCCATCATTCTCTGGAATGTTGCAGGTGCAGAACAGAGGTCGAAGTGAAGCACCTTGAATTCATATAGGCCATCCGGTGTAACGAAGGCGGTTTTTTCACGATCTCGTTCATCAACTTCGATCGGCCAGTAGCCACTTTTCAAGTCTATCGATGAAAAATACTTGGCTCGCCGCAGTCTGTCGAGGTAATCGTCGATGTGAGGCAGCGGATAGACGTCTTTTTTAGTCACGCTGTTAAGTTTTCTGTAGTCCACGCAGAAGCGCAGTGATCCATCTTTTTTCTTCACGAGCACGACCGGAGATGACCAGGCACTTTTCGAAAGTTGGATAATGTCATCTTGCAACATCTCTTTGACTTGAGTATTTATAACGTCACGTTCCTTTGCCGAAACGTGGTAAGGGTGTTGTTTTATGGGCGAAGCGTCGGTATACGTAATTATTCGATGTTTGGCGATCGGTGTCTGACGAACCTTCGTGGTGGACGCGAAGCACTCTTTAAATTGATATAGCAGTTCACGTAGCTCGGTCTGTTCCGAGAGGGTCGAGTTGACATAGACTTTTCCAAGTAGTGAAGTCACGTCGCTTGGTGTCGGTCGAAGCCCGTCGTTGGCTGATGTAGATGCAAAGCATTCAGAAACGTCTGCGATAGGGTAGGCGATAGCGATGGCGGTGTCACGAAACAGGTACCGGTACTCGCTACTAAAATTAGTCACAAGTAGGGCAGAGTGTCCGTCATAAAGCGTGAGGAGGCTGCGTGCAGCGCAGATACCTAGCGCGAACAAAAGCGTCAAGTTGCCTTCGGCGACAACCTCACCATCCCATAACTTGTCAGACGCCACATCAACTAGGACGCTTGAACGCGGAGGCAACGTGATGCTGTCGGCAGAAGTGTGAAGCGTGCTGTCACGGATGTCGTCAAGTATGTCGGAGGATCCAGCTGTCGAAAACGTCACGGTACGCTCTAGAAGATCGAGAATAGCACCGTGCTCCCGCAAAAAGTCAGTCGACTCCGAGGATTAGGTCTCGGGAACAGTCACGAAGTACGAGGCAGCTGGCGAGAAACGTACGTCCCTGAATGCCCACTCTGATAGTGCACATGCCGATCGGGGTGACTACGTGCCCGCCGGCAGTATGAATTTGTGCTTCGTGCCAAGGCGTTACAACTTTATGTGCGCTGATAGTTTCCCGCTTATGATCGAGTAGTCCGCACCTGTGTCCAATAACGCACTAACGTCGTGGTGACCGTCGACTACCACATGTATATCCAGGGAAAATCTGTTTCTGGCTTTCGTCGCTGTCGTCGGGGAATCGCTCCGTGTCCGTGCTTGCGTCGGTGGGAGGCCTTGCTTGCGTCGAGTGTCAGTGGCCTTGCTCCGGAAGGTCGCTGTCGTTAGTTTTTCCGCCTAGGGCTTGGCGAGCGCGTCGGCGCCGCTCCAGGGAGGCTCCGAAAATTCGGAGAAGATCGCTTTGGGGATGGGGACCATGACTGCCGCCGCAGTGGCATGCGCTGCTGTGAGAGGTAATCTTGAATAGCTCCCGGTCTTTCGCCAAATCTCGGCCGTGGTGCGTCGACGGCAAAACCCTGTAGTCTGAGCCGACGATAGGGACATTCCCGGTACACATGTCCAGCTTCACCACAGTGGTAACACAACGGCCGTCTGTCTGGTGTGCGCCATACGTTGGATTTTCTGGGAAGTGGCTGCCGATTTTCTAAGTGCTGAATTGGCTGCAGCGAAGAAAGTGCATCCTGATGCATAGAATTAACGAATCGCGGTGAAGCAGTAATATATCGGCTTACAGCTTCTGCGTATGATGCACGATATGGCTCCGCCGGGTACAGGTGGGACATAGCTGGAAGGCGGAACTTGGAGAGCCTGTCGTACTTCGTTTCTGACAAGGCTGCAAATAGACCCTGCAGTAGGTTGGGACTGGCACTGAATCTTTTGTAGTTCGTCGCGCACCACCGATCGAATGAGATCGCAAAGAGACTCGATGTTGATGTTACCTGCCGCACCTCCGATCTGACCTATTGACGAAGCAGCACTCACTTGCCGGTCGTACACAGTAGAGCGCTGCTGCAGCACTTGCTCCATGGTTGTGGCTTCGGTCAAAAATTCCGCCACGGTCTTTGGGGGACAGCGAACGAGGCTAGCGAAAAGCTGCTCCTTCACTCTTCGCGTTAAATGACGGACCTTCTTTTCTTCTGCCATGTCAGGGTCAGCTCGACGAAAAAGGCTCGTCATGTCTTCGACGTACATCATGACGCTTTCATTCGGCATTTGGAGGCGCGACTGAATCTCTCGCTCGGCTCGTTCGCAGCGATCGGGATTGGCCCAACTTGCCAGCAGGTATCGACGAAAGACGCTCCACGAGGGAAAACGCTCGCGGTTTTCGTACCAAGTACGAGCGCCGTCCTCCAAGCTGAAATACACGTTCCTCATTTTGTCGAAGTCGGTCCAACCATTGTAATCCGAAACCCGTTCGAACTGGGCCAGCCAGTCTTCGACATCCTCCAAGACGGAACCGTGGAACTCTTTCGGCACACGTGGCTTCCACAGCATATGATGCGTGGTCGCACCGCTTTCCTGTGCGTTGGAGGCTGCAGCGCCTTCCATAGCGTTCGGGGGTGTGACAGACGTCATCTCCAGAAGAGGTCCACACTAAGGAGGTAGTCCTCGGAGTCTTCGGCTTGAGCGGTGGACATGTGTTGTCACTGCAGGTACAGGGCTACCTTGACGCGTTTGGAATATCGGCTGGGGGTTACCCAGCAGCTCCACCAGTTGTCACGTGCTACAAAAGGTCTTCAACTAGGAAGAACTGAGCCGGCGGGGAGACACACCGAAAACTGGCAAGATGGCTGCTTCAATAATAAACAACTGGCCAGAGCACGCGCTGCCCCAGAACATCGTCTTCCATTCTCGCGGGCAGCCATGGCTTGCGCTCGCCGTAACTAGCGGCCAAGTGGCAATATGAAACGCGTCGTCATCAATGCCTTTCAATATATTCTTTATTCTGTCAGCCTCCGTCATCCTCGCATCAACTCGCCTACAGAGGCTGATCACATCCTCAATGTAGCTCGTGAAGCTCTCACCATTTCGCTGAAATTGTCCTCGCAGGCCCAGTTCAGCACGAAGCTTGCGCATGGCGGGACGACCGAAAAACGAGGTCACGGCCTCTTTGAAAACCGACTAAGTGGGGATGTCGGCTTGATCGTTGGTGAACCATAGGTTGGCCAAATCCATCAAGTAGAAGACGACGTGAGTCAGCTTGGCAGGGTCATCCAAGTTGTTAATCGCGCTGGTACACTCGTACTCTGACAGCCAGTCCTCGACATCTTGATCTTCAGTGCCGTTGTATACTGGTGGGTCACGCAGACGAAGTACACCAGGGCACACGACAGGCGCCAGCGTGGAAGAGGCTTGTGGGGGATTGACGCGCTCGGTCATCGCGGACTGAGATGGTAGCTTACGGCTGCGGAGCTCCAGGACGTTACCCAGCACGTTTCCACCAAATGCAACGAGTGAGGTTGCGTAAAAACACAGGTCATTATTCGAGAAACTTTAGCCGCAACAAGCTGGTACGGGCAGGAACCCGGCAAGCACGAGCCACACACAGACGTCAGCGTCTTCTTTCACGCTGGCACAGAGCTGGCGCCACTATGCTCCGGTACATTATATATATCAGGGAAAAATCTGATGAAGGCCGGTCCCCAGCTAAAACGCAGGAAAATAAAAAGTTTTCGTTTTGCCCATCCTCTACTTCTTGGTATTTTTGAACTGGATCCAAGGAGCCCTATATATATAAAGAGAAAGACCTGCGCATGGAGGATTATTTAAAAATGTCCGCTTCAGGCAGCCTCATTTAAACAGGTATCGTTACTTTCTCTTTGTGAAGGAATAGAATGTTTGTTACATAAGACATGTACACTTATCTCAAAATTTTTACGCCACCAATAAAACTTTAAATAGATTAAAACCTGCCTCCACTCACCGTTAGCGTGAGGTGAGCCTTCATAAATGTGATCCGGGGCCGACCCCGTGGCAGATGAGGTCCTGCAGAGGCACAAAATGAAATGCTCAAGCTGCAATTTTGCAACAGACAAAAATGAACTTTTTCGCAGGTGAGAAGAATTCATCGCGATAGCCCATTGGTATGTTATGCGATGGAAAAAGTGCCGCTCATTAGCCGTAAATAAGCAGTACAATGGCGAAAAGTACGTGTCCCCTGTAGCACGAGAAGCCACGTTCGTGCAATATGTATGGCTTCAACGTAAACTTTCCCTCCAAACAATGCAAAACAAGCCGATTCCCTCTAAAGTGACAACACGCTTAATAAAACTTAGCTTTCCAAAGAGGGCATCTTCTGCTGGAGCCATGCAACCCCCCTCATCCGCCTTTTGCAACATTTGTACAAATTTCGAATGGAGAAGATGGTAGGGGAGCTTCATCTAAGCTTGAACAGCAGCCATCGGGAGCCCACGTAGGCTTTCCCTCGCGAATATGGCATGCGATGCGCTGGGCTATGTTATCTAGTGAGACTGTGAAGTAGATAGGACGTTTTGCAAACCAGTCTACAACTTTCTCGATGGAGTTTTCAACCTGTCTTTTTTTTCTTTCAGAAGCTAGGTAAAAGGGTCAAAGGGTCAAATTAAACAATTGAACAAAATACAAAAATTGTTTGATGTACCCCAGACAACAGTCAGAAACATGGATTTGGTCGCGTTGTAAGTTCGCGTGCCAGCGTATTTTTATACTCTGGCAGAAAATAGCTGGGGCACCTTGTATAATATGTTACAGATTCTGATTTCATACGGAGCATGACGGTGACGCCGATGACGAAACTCGCCTGAAGACGTCCATACAATTCTTGCAGCAAAACTGGCAAATATGGCGTAGCTACTTCATCGGATTCCATTGTCGTACAAATCTTTGCTAGTGTGCTTCCTACTCAGCCAAAATAGATTTAACATACGCGGAGTTTTACTGAAGCATCGTTCTACGGCCGTGCCATAGGTGAGGAGAAAGCTCGCAGTTCACATGCGGGTCCTTGGTTTTGAGATATAATGAAACTGCACATATCTGGCTTCAAATTCAAACAACATTGGAAAAGCCGTAAGTGGCGTGAATGAATGTGGGGCTTGATTAAGAGCACCACCCTAACTGCCAAGTGCCTAAAGCTTATAGAAGTACTCCTTCATTGCCCTTGCTTTCATCGAAAGTGAAAGTCACCTCGGTCTCTGTATCGATGCTCCTTCGTTGTCCGGTCGTCTTCCATCTTGGAGAGAACTCGTAGAGTGACTGCTATTGTAGGCCGGAGGTGGGGGACGGGTGGATCCGTATCGAGCCATATTCGCGTACTCTGAAAATCACGGAATGTTTAATAAAGCCTTCTGGTACCAAAGTCTACCCTGTTTCATATTTATTGGTTTATGAGTCAGGTGTAGTGAAAGAGTGCCAGGCAGACGGATAGAGAGTAGTGATTGGAGCAATGAGTAGAGTTTTACAGCCAGGGCGCCAGAAGCACGATTACACACCTATACTGAAAAATCATACGGAACGTACGTTGTGAATTGAGTTATTACTATCGTTAAGAGTACATGTTTACTTTAATATACAATTTTCGCTGTCGCCTTCGACCAGTCACATAGTCCCTGCACATATGATTGTCTTCTCAATCACTTGCAAGTACTGCATTCCTGATTACGTTACGTGTGGCAATTGTTAAAACGCAGAAAAAACCCACCCGTACCTTGTGCGGTTTTAGGCAGGAGTCTCAGCGTACCAAAGAGGTTCCTGCAGATTCGAAAATAAATACATTGGTATCACGTGATGCGTTGGCGGCAACAACAATGCGTTAAAAAAGTGGTTATGTTGTCGTGTACAACTGTGACCTATGCCAAAAGCCTAGGTTTTGGGCACCCTAATTTTCTAGACGGCTACTGTTAGACTCAACTTGTCTCACGACCACAGAACGTCAGACATGGTCACTGCAGAAACATTATTATGATCGTTAATGGTTTCAAGGTGGACTAACCGGCGCAAGTTTTGTGGGAGAAAAGCGAAATATGAATGTGATGAAAAGGAGGAGACGTACCGGTTCATGATAATGATAATTCTTCATGAAAGGAGTCGTTAATGATGACACAACACAGTCATTTGCACGTTTCAGCAAAGAATGACGTCTTTACTTTTATATAAATATAAACAATAAATAGGTTCTTTAGCAATGCTGAGGTATTCGCATTATGTGCTTTGGATTGTATTGTTTTCATAGATTATTTGTGTTTTATATTGACACACACACACACACACACACACACACACACACACACACACACACACACACATTGGTGGTGTGAAGCGTTTGTCAGTCCGTCCGTGCGACCGTCGGTGCGTCCGTCAGTGCGTCCGTCCGTTTGTCCGTTCCTCCGTGTGACCGTCCGTGTGACCGTTCCTCCTTCCGTCCGTGTGACCGTCCGTCTGTCTGTCTGTCTGTCTGTCTGTCTGTCTGTTCGTCCCTTTGTCTGTCTCTCCATCCATGTGTCCATCCGTCCGTTTAACTAGAGAACACTTCAAGTACTACCATCTCACATCTTTTCATCACGTGTTCTACCTATACAAGTACTGCCATTAAGCGGACATTCTAAGGACCGCACTCTTGGGAGTGCGCCACAGGTGGTTACTACGATAACGGGACGATCGGGTGACCCCATAAGAGCTTCGCCCTTATAGAAACAAAGCCTTTATAGAAACAAAGCCCCCCCCCCCCCCCCCCCAAGGACACAGTGGGGCACGAACCCGGGTCCACTTCGTGCCAGCCCAGTATTCTACCATTGAGCCACTTTGGTGCTTTGGAATTGTTCGCAAATTTGCAATGGCCGGTTTGATATCGGGAAAGGAATCGCGTTAATATCAGATAAACAACGAGGCTTTAAACAATGCGAATAGCGTAACCAGTTGGTCATCCGATGCTTCAACCCATTACAAAACCTTTTTTTTATTGTTTACCTAATAACTGTGGCACATACCAACTACAAGCATAATTCGTTATTGTCGTCAGCTTCTGCATAAACATTTGGCGGAAATTCCATGCAAGTGTTTAGCGGACACAACGCTTCTCAGAAGAATGACGAAAAATGCACAGTAAATTCTGGTCTACTACATAGACATTATTATTAATGCCGCAGTGGGTATGCAGCAAGTGTGCTTCCAGCAGTCTCTCAATGAGTGTTTAGAAAAGTCTCTGAAGGGCCGCTCGTCTTGCTTTCACTGCGATTGTGCTGCACCTTCCACGCAGGCCTGGCGTTTTTTGGCAAGTGTTCTCATGAATAGCGAGTCGTGTTAGTCAAACCATCCTACGTTCCCGTATTAATTTTTGTGGGCCCTAAGTTAAGGGGTGTGATGATGAGACCATGGAGACGTAGGCTGATGGACGGACGGATTGACAGACGAATGGGCAGACACTGACGGGTGGACAGACAGACAGACAGACAGACAGACAGACAGACAGACAGACAGACAGACAGACAGACAGACAGACAGACAGACAGACAGATACACACACCCCCCGCTCAGTGCGTGTTCTCTGTTGTACACGTCTTTTTTTGTCGCTAAGATGCACTGCAGTATTGTACGGTCGAAATCACTCCGAACAATCCTTGTTTTAAGAATATGTCGGTAGTAACAGTGAGAAGCTGCGGCATTGACAACTTTTGTTTTTCAATAGTGAATTAACCAACTTACAGAAATACCTCCATGTCGCTTCAACGGTTAAGACAATGAATTTTGACTGTTGTGTGCCCATGCCTTAAGGTAATTGTACACAAAATTCTTGAAAAGAAAGAAGAAAACGAGAAATCCACCTAGTGAACGCCCACCCACAACCCCGATTTGCTCAGTGACCTTCGGATTTGTGGTATGCTTCCCAACAGCATGATACCATGTTGCAGCAGTTGTGCTGCAGTGCGGAACCAGTGATGGTTTATTTTAATGCCCTTTTGCTACGTACAATACGACTAAAACGTTGCTAATTCAAATATGTTTTGCGTCCAAAACAGCAACCTTTTGTTATGTAGGATTTGTGATGGTCCCATAAAAGCATCCAAGTTTTGAAGTATGCCCAAAAAATACACAGTCATGTAATGTAATTGTTGATATCGATTGGTACATCCCATTTGGTAGGATAGTTGCGACAACAGCCTGCCGTCCCATTTAGCTTTTTTTCGTGCATCGCGCTTATAGCACATATTCGTTATAACAATGAAATTTCATCGGCACTTGGGTACTGTCACAGGTTGCTTCGTCTGTATTACCAAATAACCGAAAATACTATTCTCAATGGGCTCCTTCTCATTCGCACGACATATATTCTTCAAATAAGCTCCGGGTACTTCTAAAGTGACGAAGGACTTCAAGGTTCGACTCATATAGCTGGTGTTTGAAACCGATAACCGCTTCTGTTTTATAATGAAGGTTTTCAGAACTTACCTGCCTGTAATGTCCACATGTCAAAACAATTAATAGCATTCAGAGTAGTCTCCGAGTTGTTTTATCCCAAAAGTCCGAACAAATCAGAGATTCAGGACAAAAACGAGGCTTCAAGGCGAAAGAAAGCTTTCAGCCGCAGGTGTCACTGAATGCAACGTTTGGACATGCGGACTTGTCCTCGTCGCTGCTGCCTCTGCAGTGGCATGGCTACGTGTCGCAGAGTTGGCGCCAGCCACGTGTCTTGTTCAAAGATTGTTTCTTTTTACCCGCCGCGGTCGTCGTGTGGTTAAGGCACTCGGCTGCTGACTCGCATGTGGTGAGATCGAATACCGGCTTCTGCGACCGCACTTTCGACGGAGGCGAAAATACTTGAGGCCTGTGTACTTAGACTTGGGTGCACGGTAAAGCAGCACAGGTAGTTGAAATTCCCAGAGCCCTCTACTATATGGCGCCTATTATAATGATATAGTAGTTTTGGGACGTTAAACCTGAGAAATCATGAATTTTCCTTTCTCTATCAATTGAGTGATTTGTGGGGTTTAACGTCCCAAAACCACCATATGACTATGAGAGATGCCGTAGTGGAGGGCTCCGAAAATATCGACCTCCTGGGGTTCTTTAACGTGATCCCAAATCTGAGTACATGGCCCTACAACGTTTCTGCCTCCATCGGAAATGCAGCCGCCACAGCCAGGATTCCATCCCGTGGCCTGCGGGTCAGCATACGAGTACCTAAGCCACTACACCACCACCGCAGGGTCCTTTCTCTATCAAAACAAATAGTATTCGACAGTTGGGCTCACCTCGGGTCGTGTGCTAGCATTGTTTCCAAAGTTGGGCCACGTGATGTGCTGGGAAACGACGGCGGGAAGAGGAAGCGGCTACTTCCGGTCATGGTTGGCTGTGCAGTGACTGAAAGAGAAACGTTAAATTGGTACTTCACTGGGCAACGGTAAACGTATTTGAGTAGTAAACAACTTGCTTGGAACTTTACATGTCGCTCCATTGGTAGGTTTCATGAAAGTTTGAGGGGAAAATTCATACATTCAACATAGTGAAGCTGATTGACAATTAAATCAAGAAAAGCAGAAGCGACAATAATCGTGATTACTCAACTATTCGTTACCAGGCTTACTCAAATGAAACAGCGGTGACTGAATCATCAAATCGTCGATTTTTGCATGTTGAATCGGTTTCTAAAAAACAAACAACTTTCTGGTAGATGGTACGACCACTGAACTTTCAGAATCACATTGAATTCGCCCTTTCCGGCAACATAGTTATCCATTACTAACTTTTTGCGTGAAAAAATTGGTGCGTGTTTTGTAAATGCACTTCGCTGATGAACTTGCGATAACTGCAAATACAAGTAAATTTTTTGCTCTCAGCCAAGGATGCTGACCGAAGAATTTTTCTGAAACATGCTATTTAGCGCTATCGCCTTAACAACAATGAAAACAACTAAGGTTTCCAGTCGCAAAACCACGATATGATTATCAGAGATGCCATGGTGGAGGGATCCAGAAAGTCCAGCCATCTTTTCTTCTCTAACTTGCCGTGAAATCGCACGGAACACAAACCGCAAGCATTTAACCGGAGACGAAATGCCACTGAGTGGCTTCAGAAACTTTCTTCTCTCGTATCTGAATTCAATGTGCGTTTCATGGGTTGCCATGGTCTTTCTGCAGCCCTCCGCGGTCTCTATCCGGTGGTGAAGAGCACCTATCCTCAATTGCATAATGTGGAACAGTGCAGGCGTGGTGGCGCGTTCATTCGAAAAAGAGTCGTGTTCTTGCCGCCAATACTACATATTATTTGAAGAACTGTGTTATGTTTTTTCAGAGCATAAATTTATATCATACGGTTCGAAATGATGTGGAGTGGTTACAAGTCGAGGGCTAAAGCTTTCGTTTGGTTACCTCGAAAAGGCACGATGATTCCATAGTGACAGCACTGTTGGCGTGTATATTTATATAGTGTCGGGCCGATGGGTCCTTACCTGTAGCACGAGCGGCGGACGCAGGGCGAAGAGAGCAAATGCGCGGGACGAGCGTCAGCATCGCAAAAAGTGACAAGGGACGGAAAAGTGGATGAAGTCCCTAATGAAGGCCGGTCCCCGGCTGAAACGTAGGAAAAATAAAAATTTTTCGTTTTGCCCGTCCTGTACTTCTTGCTTTTTTGTAGCGTTAGCTACACTGGCCTCGCTGAGCCAATTTCGCGTGGCACTGGTCTGCGCATGCGCAATGATACTCCGCCGCCACCGCCGCGCGCGGCTCGCCGCCGGTGTGCGCTCAATTCGATGCGCCGCGCAGACGATCAGTGGTGTCACGCACCGGAGCCGGCAACTCCCTCGCACTCGGCCGCGGCCGCGCGCGACTCGCCGCCGCCGGTGTGCGCTTTCCAGAGGATTGCCGTCCTAGCCTTGGTAGACATATGGACGCCGACGCGCGCGCCGTCCCTGTGCAGTCGCCATCTGACACTGCGTTGGAACCGCTTGATAGCGCCTCTGACTGGCGTTTGCCACTGTGGTATAGCCATGGAGAAGAAGAGTACAAATGCTGCTCAAAGGTGCAATAAAGCGGAGAAGCTTAACTCATCGGATCCCAAAGTAGTTGTTCGGCAAAATAAATATACATGTGCCACATAATACGTATACCGTGTGTGTGTCATTGGAACAGCTGTAAGCATGATATCTGGAAAGCTAAGAATAATCAGCTGAACCTTTGTTAACGCTACGTATATCCTGGCATAGCTGAGCTAAGCCACTGCCATTTTTTTCCACTGGATCCAAGGACGCGCACACACACACACACATATTATATATATATATATATATATATATATATATATATATATATATATATATATATATATATATATATATATATATATATATATATATATATATATATATGAGGGAGAGATCTGCGCATGGTGGGTTTTTCAAAAATGTTCGCTCTTCAGGCCACCTCAACAGGTCTCGTTGCTTTCTTTTTGTGAAGGAAGAATAGAATTCGTTACGTAAGACATGCATACTTTTCTCAAAATTTTTATGCCACCAATTAAACATTAAATAGGTTAAAACCCGCCTCCACTCACCGTTAGGGCGAGGTGAGCCTTCATAAAGGTGATCTTGGGCTGACCCCATGGCAGATGGGATCCTGCAGGCAAATAATGAAATTCACAAGCTGCATTTTCGCAGCAGAGACAAAAATGAACTTTTCCGCGGGTGAGAAGAATTCATCGCGATTGCCCATTGGTATGTTATGCGATGGAAAAAGTGCCACTCATTAGCCGAAACTAAGCAGAACAATGGCGCAAAGTATGGGGCCCTTGTAGTGCTAGAAGCCACCTTCGTGCAATATGTATGGCTTCAACGCAAACTTTTCCTCGAAACAATGAGAATCAAGCCGATTTTCTCTAAAGTGACAGCACGCTTAATAAAGGTTAGCGTTTCAAAGTGGGCATCTTCTGCTGGAGCCATGCAACCCTCCCCCATCCGCCTTTTGCAACAATTGTGCAAATTTAGACTGAAGGAGATGGCAGGAGAGTTTCATCTAAGCTTGAAACGCAGCCATCGGGAGGCCACGCGGGCTTTCTCTCGCGCATATGGCATCCGATGCGCTGGGCTATGTTTTGTAGTGAGTCTTTATACCGAAAATGACGGCGACGCCGAAGGCAGAGAGCGCCTGATGCAGTTTATGGTATCATTGATTGATTGATTTGTGGGATTTAACGTCCCAAAACCACGATATGATTATGAGAGACGCCGTAGTGGAGGGCTCCGGAAATTTTGACCACCTGGGGTTCTTTAACGTGCACCCAAATCTGAGCACACGGGCCTACATGGTATCATTGCAGGAAAACGGGAAATTATTGGGCAAGCAGTTGATACTGCTGTCGTACGAATTGCTACTAGGGCTATTGCTACTCAGCGCAAGTTGATTTGGGAGGTAAATGTAATGCCGAGTATTATTAGTCGAGTCTAATTGCGTTGCCCTGTCGTAAGCATGGATATTGCAGTTCTCACAAGGGACTCCTTGGTTTTGGGATTGAATCAATGTGCACTTGTGTGCTTGAATGTATAACTTAAGGAAATGCCCTAGGTGGTACGAGCAAACTTGGCGCTTGACTAATTTTCCCATCCTACATGTTAAGTTCATGTAGGTAATACAGGGACTCTTTCATCCCCATTTTTTACATCGAAAGTAAAGCTCACCTCGGTCTCTTTGTCGATGCTGCTTCGTTGTCCGGACGTCTTTCACCTTGGAGAACAGTCATAGATTGAGAACTATTGATGGGCGAGGGCGCGGCACAGGCGGCTCCAAATCGAGCCCTACTCTTGTACACTGAAAACCCAAGAATGTTTAATAGAGTAGTGATGCCCACCCGTATAAAGATAACGTTGTTTGGCGTTTAACTGTCCATGAGTCAGGCATGAGGAAGTATTGCCAGAAGGTTGGATAGAGAATATTTAATGACGCAGTTAGGTGGGCAGATGAATTCAACGAGGGCGGTACTAAAGTGATTGAACGGAAGCAACCCTCAGACGGTTTTTAGAAGTTTTGTCCGCGCTTAGGCTACAGCATCGCCGAATCATTCACGCCCAAAATTTTGCGAGAAACCTTGCGCTAAAGCCGCTGCAGATAATCATATCATGCACCCCAGCCGTGCCTCCTGAACTTATGGGAGACGCTGGCATCGCCAGCAATTGCAGGGCTCTCCTGAGAGCGCTCGCTGGTTGAGCTTCGCCCAGTCTAGACCTCCAAGATTGCAAGCCGACAGGTTTTCCCAATCTCGGGGGTCATCACCCACGACTGTCACCGCCCCGCTAACTGGCGACTTTCCCGCGCATTCTACAGCCAATCTAAGCAGCAGCCTGGGTGACGTAGCGTTACCAGATGATGCCTTTATGTGAATGGGCGTTGAAAACGCGCTTGGTGGAGAAGCAGCCATCTGAAGCGATTCGAAGCTTTAATGGGGTGGTGCCACCAAATTTGGGGCACGTCTGTTTTTTGCTTCAAGCATTGCCTTCAGCTCCGGGAAGCATATTACACGCCCCAAAATTCGTGTATTTTCCTAAAATAATTTATTATTGCTTTACTTATGTGGACAATTTTCGGTTCCGGTTTCGCAGCCCTGAGTTGGGTGATGACGTCGATGCATAGGTGGCTTTGTCACGTGACCACACAAGGCTGTGATGCACATCGTGCTGAGTTTCGTCTGCCCACCCACACACGCGCCACACAAGCGCCAGCAAAACAAACGTGCTGACAGTCGCCATGGCCAGCTGCAGTAGCATCCCGGCAGTGACAAGGCAAAAGCCAGCCACAAGGAAACAAAGCGTTTATATTTACAAGGTATGTACAAAGCATGCATGGGCGAGCAAGCCGCCCGACACTCGATTAGCCAGCCTTCTATACGCGCCGAGATGCTGATGGAGGATGAGACAGCCGCGCTGTTGGAAGCGCACAGCGTCTCTGAACGACGCGACGATTGTCTTTTCGAAAGCGTTCAGAGTCCTCGACAGACGCACACCGTGCCTCTGCAAGGGGCGCCAGCACACTCGTAACAGCGGGCATGCTAGTTCTCTCCTTGCTCACAAAATGCGTTTCGGAGATGGCGGAGGTCACTCACGTCACTACAAATCTGTTGTGACGTCACAACTGCCGTTGCTTTTCCTATTCTATTCTATTCTTTTCCTATAAGCGACTTGCCTAGATAAAGAGAGTGAACATTCAGCTACTCCTTTAGAAGTGAATTGAAATATATTCTACGTGTTTGTTGTGTCCGACTGTTCGTGTGGAGAGTCCTTGCATACAGAGGAAACTCACAACAGGCTTGGGATAACCTCGCAATTTGGCGTCACCACCCCTTTAAAGTGTTCTAATAAATTGCGCAGCTTTACGTACAAAGCCTAATGCAGTCTGTAAATGACCTTTGGGGCTTGATATACCAGCTTAATGTGTTTTTATAAAGCCCTCGAAAACGTTTAATGGTCTCTTAATATTTCCAGATACAAGAATCGTACGGAACGCACGTGGCCGATTGAGCTGAATAACCTTGATGGTATTACTCTGCCTCAATTTACAATGCTTCCTATGGCCTCCGACCAGTGAATGAGTTTCGGCACCAATGATTGTCTTCTGAGCCGCTTGCAAGGAGAAGCCTATTGCCGATTTTTATGCGTCTGGCTTACAAACTGTGAAAACGTAGAGAAGGCATTCGTACCGTATAGGGTGTTTGGTTGGCGAGTCTGGTAACCAAGAGGGTTCCTGCAGATTCAGAAAGAATCACATTGGTATACGATATGATACGTTGCTGGGGATGAAAAGTAGTTAATAAAAATGTTAATGTTGCCATGTTCAATTGAGATGTGCGCCGAAAGCCAAAGTCTCAGACAGCCTTATTTTCTAGAGGGCTAGCGTTGGGCTCAATTTGTCTCATGACCACAGAAAATTGAGCATGGTCACTGCAAAAACAGTATCAATAGACACATGCGTCACTCTATAGAGATCATCACAATGAGGAGCATCAGCGCCAGCGACTACTTGAGCATTTGCGTTATTTCAGCTTGTGTGCCACAAAAATAATTATGTGTCTATCAAACAGTGCTCATTGCTTAGTTTCAGGCAAACGGTTTTGTCGCTATTTCCTTTAGTCATCGTGTAAAGGCTTTCCAAATTCTCTCGCCTCGTTTGTCGGTGCCTGCTCATGAGATTTGAGAAGCATGAGATTTCTTAGGGTTGCACAGGATTGCGTCAGTTTCGTTGGAACAGGAACAATTCTGCGTCTTACGCGGAACCCCTGCCCCTCGTTCTAGGAAAACATTTAGACGCGGGATCATTCTGACTAGCGTTAACCAATAGTTAACAGCGATAGGGCGGGGATGCCTGCCCACGTCATGGATGAGTTAGGTGGGGCTAACTTAACCATTCCCTAAGCAGCGTGTAGGAAGAAGAACAAACTTTGTTTGCGGGAAAGACTTCGTCGACACAAAACTAGGGCAACACTGCGTGGTGGGGCCCCTATTCAAAAGCACCGCTGGCTCTCGTCATCCTTTCAACCTTCCTGACTAGCCACAGCTAGTCCTCAAGGGCCGGGCTGTGCAGGAAGCTCATTTTGATTTAGTGCACTAAGTACAAATGGAAAGTGGCCATTCTTCAAGAAATTCTTTTAAACATATTTACGATAGGTTTTAGGCGCCAATACAACGATACTGATACACACAAAGTTCAAGACAAAAGAAATCTCAAAACGGGGCGTAATAATCTAGGCAGGATTCCAGCTGTCTGGACTGTATTGAAACCGATTGTTCTTTAGCACACATGCTTTGGAAATGTGCCAGTTTGTCCAACGGCCATTTATCCAGAAAAGCTGACTAAGAAGAGGCCCTCTGGAACTCATTGCTCTATAAGGAACTCCAGGCAATCGAGAGCGCCAAAGAAAGAGTAGAAAATCGCAGCGTGTCAACCCCAATTTCGACGCGGCCAGTGGTTTCCGGGGGTTCCCAATACGGGTTCGCACGAAAGCTCATCAGGATCACATAACAATATTTCTCTGTCCGTCTGTTTGGGCATCTCTGTGACCGAACCAACCCGAACCGAACCGAACCGACCCGAACCGAACCGACCCGACCCGAACCGACCCGACCCGAACCGAACCGACCCGACCCGACCCGACCCGACCCGACCGACTGACCGACTGACCGACTGACCGACCTAGGAGCAGTAGTCATCTGCTTCAAACCAAAAGGCAAGTTTCGTCCTATAGGTTGAGCCGCATGATATGGATCCCTGTATCAGTACAAACTAACGTCCCGTTTTGTGCGTGTCGTAGCAGAAAGGAAGCAGAGTATTCACGCATGTTCTAAACAGAATATTCTGAGACTTCTATACCACTCTGGCTGCTCGAGCGTTTCCGGATTAAACAGACCCCTGCACTTGCAACATGTATCGCAGGAGCCCGGATACGGCGGCCTACATACAACATATCCAGTGGTTTTTGCTGCGTTACAATGAACCTAGATATAAGTAAATAGCATCAAAACCTCAAGAACCACCTCTTAGTTGCTCCTTTCAACTATTTAAAATGCATGAGGTCTCACCGGTCGTTCTGCCATATGACAGCCACCCCCTCCATGCCTGAACTGTTTGCGTTGGCCACTGGATGCCAGCCAGTCCTGCTGGTCCCAGGCATCCCGATCTGGACGATGCTGCTGGAGTTCCCGTCTGTGTTTAAAAAAAACACAGGCGTTAATCCGCCAGTTTGCGGCAAAACGTCGTTACAATAAAACACAGACTCAGCAGAATTTGTGACTGGACAGGAAGGGTTAGCAAAGTTTTTCTTATGAAATCCTACAGCAGCGCTGCCAACTGGCATATTTTTGTCACCCACACACACACTGCGTATTTAAGGTTGTGACAAAATTCGAGCACATCTTTTACATTAGTTTATATTGTGCTGCAAAATGCACGTATATCGCTGCGCGAGTGACAACGCCACAATCGAAAATATTGTTATTTTAATACACGTAATAAACTACCTTAATTTCGGACTTCTGCAACATGCATCAGCTTTTTGGGTGATGGGAGCTCACATCACGTCATCTGACGGTGACTACACTGACGACAAGCTATTCGTTTTTGACTGGCTAGACCTGACGAGCAGTGTGCAGTATGGTGTAGCCAAATCGCACGAGTGAAAGCTAAATACAGTAAAAAAATCCTTCATATACCTGCTCAGAAAGAAAAATGAGGTATCATCTCCTCGAAGGGAGACCTGATCGGATGTGAAGCAGCAGCGGGCGCACGGCGTTTACCCGGTTGGAACGGGTTTTACGCGGGTACTATAATAACTGTTTGAAGCGAAGCTCGGTGTAGCGTTTACTCAAGTAAACGTTTGTTTAAAACTCAAGGGCATGGCAGGTGGTTCGGGTTTCGTGCAAGTTTGATCGCAGGTAAGCGAGCCGAAGAAGTGTTTGCACTGGACACGTGGTCGAGCATTGCGGGCGGCGGAGAGGGTGAAGCTAGAGAGAAGTATGTTGCGAGTGGGCGGAGGTGCCGGCAGGTGCGGACGCTGCGGCGAGCGTGTTGCGGATGAGGGCGATATGGTTGTCAGCGTGGACCTAGCTGCGAGGAAGGCATGCGAAGAGAGCATGACGTCAACGCCCAGCTGCCACTTGACCTACTTGGCACAGCTCTAACATCTGCGGTGAGGGGATTGCGTTGCGTTCCGTTCGTAGGGACGCACGTACGGCGTTACACACGTGAGTCAAGGAGATGCTTCCCATCTATTAATTTCGTTTAGTGATGTATTTCAGAACAGTGATTACAATGCAGTCTGCAAACGTGGCAACGACACGCCAGCAACTCAAGGTGAAAACGCACACAAAGTTTTTAGCGAGTTGAAAATGAGAAATGCGGCGGATGCCGGCGTTGCCAAAGAACGGTCTTGCATGTTAGCCGTGAAATGCCCCCCCCCCCCCCCCCGCCTACTTCTGGGGTCCATAGACAGATTTAGTTGTCCGTCCGCAGCATCCGTACGAACGCAGCCGGCCAGCCATTCGCAATGGCAGGCTGCGTCCGTATGGCTGCTGCGAACGCTCAACTAAATCTTTCTAATTTCTACACCGAACTACATGTCACACGTATACACGTATTGGATGCAATGCAGTCCCCGTTGAAGGCAACTTTCTTTAAAGACGGTAGCATTTACTTCAACGGCGAAATTTTGGTCTGTCTGCTGGTGCCTGTCCAACGCTTCAGCCACTCGGCGAAAGTTGAACCCCTTGCAGAACGCCCATTCATCTTCATTTTATTGCTGCGTTTTCCCCTGTGAACAACGTCAATCAGAAAGCGAATAAAAAGCATTTGTGAGGTGCAACATTACTGCATAAGTGTTAGAAGTGTAAGATAGTATGGCACCTTATCTCACGTAGCTACTCCTGATAAAAGATTTTTTAGACGTTTCTTGCGGCGAAGCATGGATATCGGTAGCGATGTTTTTTTTTTGTAACGTACAGAGCGATACAACATAGATTTACAAGAAAATGATCAATAAAATTTCTGTTACGTGTACATTTTTTCCGTAATTTTTCTTGATTTTCATCCCACACGTGTCATGGACAGTGTCTTATTGATTTTTTCAGGATGGAGGACACTGGTTTGAACTTCACGTGCGAAGTTTTCGAAGACAAGCTATGTCAGTTTCCACTTTAACGCTTCACCATTGCTTCGGGCCACGTATGCTGCATTTTCTTGCCCGAAATAAAAACATTTCTTGTGGTTTTCATGACTCCATTTAATAATACTTGAGGGTAGCATATGGGTTCAATGCCGAAATGCTGTCGTGAAAAACTGATTCAGTACCAAGTAAAATGCAGCATCAGTAAACAGGTGAACCAGCTTAAGGAAGTTGAGCTTTCGGATGGCGTTCTTGAGTGTGCGCCTAGAAAAATTTTGTGCATGATGAAAGAGAAAAATATCCTGACGTGCGCAGATGAATTAACAGCAGATATAGAACGATAAGTACGTGGCTGCCTAATGTTTGCATGGCGTTTCACACCGGTTAAAAGTTCATCGACGATTACAACACTGCCTAATGAAAATTCTTAGAGCGCCTTTGTGCTGCGTCAAGGCCAAGCAGGTTTAAAGTTTTGGATTTGCACAAAATTTCTACTACGTCCTAAAAAATTTTTGTGAAGTACCATAGGGCCTACAATGTCATTATTCCTCTTTCTACGGATAAGCGAAGTAACAAACAGAGGTACCGGAATTTATAAGCACCAGGATAGCTGTGTGGTAAAACAATCGACTGCCCCGCAGAGGGCTGGGTTGAAATTCCATCGGATCGTGGGTATTTGTCATTTCATTTGGTCATGTTTATCTTTTTCGCCCCCAACGGGGACGGCAGTGGCAACGTACGTCTGACGGGGAAGGAACTGCCGCCTAAGAGCTGTGCTCTAAACGGGTCGCTGAGAGATATGATGTACGTTCTCTATTTTCCGGGGAAAATATTATTGGTAGAATATGTGTAGCCATTGATAGAAAAATGTTATGGAGAAAAAACACTTGAAACAATGTAAGAAGTTTGTTGATTGTAAATTGGGTGTCACGCACAGTGTGCAACACTCGCCTGGTGTGGTACTTCATATATTGTTGAAACAGGGTGCCGCCTTTATGTTCACCTAAAGCAGCATCCCAGCACTTGCAAAGGCCCGCCTCACGTGAACTCAGCATTAATTATTGAAATCTAAAGAGTTCGATGACTGCACCACTTTCTGAAGCATCGCAGATTCTATTTGCGCGGAAACACCAAGAGAGCAAATAGCTTGTAAAAAAATGCAACGTTTAAAACAGACTGGAAGGTGAGTCAGCCACATTATAGAACTATCAAAGGCTCAATGCGCATATGTTTGGTGACACAGATAGGGACATTTTGGCAGCACTAACGTTCGTAGTTCACATAAAAACAGCGCCAATAACGAGGGACAAGAAAAGAAGGAGATAGACAGCGGCACCGACTTACAACAAGATTTATTTGCTAGAACCGCACAATATATACTTGGGCAGTATCTCACAAAAAAGAGAAAATACAAACCAAAGAAAACAGAACTCATCTAACATTCGCGTAATCATCGTCATAACGCACCATGAACAACAGATACTGTCAGATACTGCCCAAGTATATATTGTGCGGTTCTAGCAAATAAATGTTGTAAGTCAGAGCCGCTGTCTGTCTCCTTTCCTTGTCCATCGTTATTGGCGCTGTTTTTATGTGAATCGGGTCGTACCAACTCGCCCAAGCAACCACGTTAACGTTCGTATTTCTGCTGTAGCATGGCAATTATTATTTTTTTGCTTTTCACGAAGGTAACACATGTTTCTTTTTGTTTCATTATTGAACGTGCTCCTGAGGGCATTCTTTGGTCGATTCCTTGCCACTTTCGTGCAACTCACAGGAAGCGGGCCTTGGCCTTTCCAGTGTATTCACCTAGGGGCCCAATTTTCTTCGCGCTACATCTCCACGTGAATCGGTCAACGTTTCCCGAATTTCGTACTTGCGCAGAGCTGCCTCAGCACAACGGTTATTTGAATGACAAAGCAAAATTCTCTTCCAAAAGGAAGCCGTCTGCAACATAGGAGGCGCTTCAGAAACGTGAGGGGATTTCGAAAAAACAAGGAACACTTTAAGGTAAAGAATGAAGAGCACAAAGCTGGCATGCCACTGGATTGCTGCTCAGTCTTTTGTTGTTGATCTTCTTGCGAATGTGGCACACAGGAACCCAACGACAGTACTTCAAGTGATTCATTTATGTATTCCACACTCACTGCAGTTGTTTGATTCTATCTATCATTTTGAGTAAACTACCTTGGTTTTGAAAGAGACAGGTCAATCGTCGCTACGTAATGCCTCGTCACGCCCACTACTACGGCCATCTTTATGGTGTTGGGTGGTGCCACCGCAACTGCTGATAACGATGCTGGGGAGTGTTTAAACAGTCAGTTATCCAGGTGTTGTCATTTATTACCAGTCATGAAAAATTTATTAATTAATGAATTAATGAGTTAGACGCCTGGCTACAGTGCGCCAGCCAATATTACAGTTCAAATTTTATATGAATGTGGATAACTATAAGTAATTTTGGTTTTCTATGTAAGCTCCAACTTTTACACGATTTGTTACTCTTTACTAGAAAAGGCACTTGAGTGAATCGGTGGTGATCCATCGTTGACACGCTGTAGCGTTAACCAGACGAGGATGAAGTCAAGATGACCACAAGGTACCTTCAATTTGTGACTTAGAAACTTACCATATTGAAACTGACCTATACGCTAGCTTCCATAATAACCCTTTGAATCGCCATGCACACAATTGTGTACATTACTTGTCTTCCCTATTTGCATCAAGTAGATGCTAAGAAAGCAAGATATTTTATACTTTGGATGAATTGAACCTCCTGCATAATAAATTAGTTTATTCTCATTTTGCAATGTGCCGATACATATGATCATTTTGCTGAGGGAAACAACACCACGTTCGACGAGTAGTGCGACGTGCCCCTTCCGGCGAGCAATGTGAAAAAAAAGAATTTTTCTGTGTTCAGAATGATCATAACAGAAAATAAATTTGTTATACATTCCTTGCCTGAAAGCTTGTTTTCATTTATGTGAAAAGTAAGCATCTATGACTTTAGAGTAAAGAGATATTCAAGTGAATGTAATTAGGATGAGTTGTTAAAACGACCCTAAATTCGAAAATAATCTCACTATTTCCGTCGCAATAGCATACGGAGTGCCTTCCAGGAACGTTGTAGCGATTTGACACATTTACAAACAGTTCTTTTTTTGGTGGTTTTTTTTCTGAAAGAGTTAATTTCATTGATCCCATGCTACTCCAATTACATTGTCGCATTGAACTTGTGGTTGAAAAACTTTTCATACATACAGTGCGGGGAATGTGCGCCGTAAGCCACGTTCTGTTGGAGATTGAATGCGCCCATAGGGTTCCTGCAAGTCCAAGAAAAAGTATTAACGCGAATCAGTGGGTACACATCACTTTCAATGTAACAATCACAATATTTTTTGAAAAAGCGATGTAAAATGTCAACATTGATTGTTAAAGCCACTCTGATGTCTCATAACCGTTATTACCAGCGGAGCAAACAAAAAATATAGTGCCCCTGATAAGTTGCTTGAAGGGGAAGACGCCACGAATTTTCTCAAGATGCCGACGAGTCCTTTCCTAAATTTACCGTGGCTGTACAAAATATACGCCACGTGCTTTCGTGACACTTGTTTGTGGTGCGGCGGTTCGCCAACGTTATATCAGATATCTTGGGAGTGTGCTCGAAACCCAGATAATTTGAAATCTTTTTTAAGGCAACATTATTGTATAAACTTCGGAGCAGAGGGAGGCGCAACTTGTCAGTTCGTACACAAAGGGGCAATGAGCGCTTATGAGTCCCGTTATATGAGCCCTGCAAGCCAGTGGGGCCCTGGACTGGAGGGGGGGGCAATAAACATTTTCCTGAGTACCCCTTTTACAACGCTACTTTAAATATCAAGTTTTGTCTTTTTTCCTCCTGACTAGATTGTCACAATACATGTTACATTTGTCAGACGAGGGCTGCTCACAGAAGCCCTGCAAAAGGGAGACGGAGAACGTTTTCTGTTTTTGTGTGTGTGTGTGTGTGGGTGGTGGACGGCGAGGCTGCTGATGATGCGATCCACTCAAAACGAATAATCTAGATGACTGTAGCCTGAGGATCACCTTACGTTTTTTTTTCCGTACTCTGCAGAGCATCAGAAGCATAGAGACGTACCACCTAGCTCTTATATCCGCCTTTTATTTTAAATGATGAAATAGGAAAGATTAGTGCCATTATGGTGGCACCGGCTAGTCCTTTTCTTTTCTTAGGCAAGATATGCCAAACCATCAACAAGAAGGGCTCAAAATTCGAGGCTACAACATATGATGTGAAAGTACACAATAGTCAAACTTCACAGGTCAGTTCACTTACAGCTAATAGGTTCACATGTTTCACACACAAGGTCAGTTCACCTCACATGACAGTTCATATTCGCCTATTAGATACATATGTACACAAGTTCCCCATGCAAGGTCAGTTCACACTGAGAAAGATTACACATGTGAAACAAGATATATAAATATTGCATATAACCTTTTCATGACAACAATGCATACTGTAGGTCAATATTTCCATAACAGTGCCTCCTGTACAAAAATCTGTGCCGGGCACACCACCATCGGAGGGCCGTCAAACGCCACTTTTTTCCGCTCCCGCTAGGGGCGCTGGGAAAACAGGGTTCCACTGTTGCCATTCTGTTCGGGTGTTGCGTGCAGCCCGTTCAGTGGTGCGCAACTTCGTTTTGTGAGACAGTTTTCGGCAAGTACATACGTAGAATGCTTTACGATTGCCTACTGCTGTGTTCCGCTGTAGAAATCGGACGGGAAAAAGAAATCGGCAGGGCTTTTCTTTCTTGAACTACCCGCTCACGCAGACGCTCGAGTGCGATGGCTTGCCGCAATACGACGAGACAAGTGGTCTCCGAACACCACCTCATACTACACCAAAGTATGTAGTCGCCACTTCAAAGAAAAGGACTTCATCGGATAATTGATTTGTGGGGTTTAACGTCCCAAAACCACCATTTGATTATGAGAGACGCCGTAGTGGAGGGCTCCGGAAATTTTGACCACCTGGGGTTCTTTAACGTGCACCCAAATCTGAGTACACGGGCGTACAACATTTACGCCTCCATCGGAAATGCAGCCGCCGCAACCGGGAATTGAACCCGCGACCTGCGGGTCAGCAGCCGAGTACCTTAGCCACTAGACCACCGCGGCGGGGCAGGACTTCATCGGAGGCAAGCGGCGACGCCTAAAGGAAGGGGCTGTGCCATCAGTTTTTGAAGAATACCAGCCCCATCTCCAGTCGAAGTCAACACCCGTGAGAAATACAGCAAGCATCGACAAACGAGTGAGTGCTACAATGGCACGCAGCGACTCCGCGAGCGGCAACGTTGCTTTAGCAGTGGCGAATATGTCGGATTGTTGCGCAATAGACACATCGTCGGAGGCCAACTTGCGTGGTCAAGGCGTCCAGGTAGACAACAGGTCAACCTAAAGTGTGCTTGTTGCTGAGAAAGTGAAGTGGAGAAGAAAAGAAAAGGAGTTGACGAGCCAGCTGCTTCGACTGCAAGAGACGGTCGAAAAGTACAAAATGGAATTGAAAAAGATGCATGAGGACGCCCTGGTTGCCGATGTTTCTTACATCAAGGAAAGGGCGAAAGAAAAGGAACCTGCAGCTTTATTCTTGATTGATCAGATTGAGAACTTGAAGAAGAGGCCGAGCTGGTCTGAGGAGACAAGCCGACGTTTTGTAGTTTTAAGGCATTTGTCGACAAGGGCGTGCGAACACATCCGCGGTGAAATGCTTTTGAAGCTTCCTTGCGGAAAGACTTTGAGCAACTACTTAGGAACCACCAGTGGAGAAACGGGCTTCAGCAAACTCGCCGAAGCTCGCCTCAGAGTAGAAGCCGAAAGGTTGACTGTACCACCGTCAAGGGTGTGTTCACTCATAGTCAACGAAATGAAGATCAGGTAAAAGCTGCAGTACAACAAACAGCAGGACTGCTTTGTGGGGCACGCCGATGTCTCTTTGGAACAACATGGTGGGGACCTCACCTTAGCAAACTCTCTTCTCTGCTTTTTATTTACAAGACTCTCGACGTCGTATCGCATTCCAGTGGCCTACTATTTTACCAAGGGGTTAACAGGCCCACAGCTTCACAAGTTCTTGACTTTTTGTGCTTGAAAAAGTAGAAGCCTGTGGTTTCAGAGTAGTTCGCTTAGTGAGTGATAACCACAGAGTGAACGTCAATGCCATGACACTTTTCGGCGATGGTCTTCTTACGTAGCGGATAGAAGATCCCTGTGACTGCGACAGGCTCCTCTTTTTAAGTTTTGATGCATGTCACGTTTTAAAAAACGTGCGCTCGCAGTTTCTGGCCCACGACATTGGTCCAAAAGGAGAGGTCTCATCCTGCTACATCAAGAAGCTCTATGACCTATAGGAGGACCTGGTTGTAAAGCCTGTCCACTACCTCAGCCGAAAACATGTCTATCCGAATAACATAGAAAAAATGAATGTCGCAAGGACAATTCCGGTCCTCTTGCCTGATGTTACTGCAGCCCTGGAGCATCTCAGAGACCAAGCTGGGCATACGAGTGTATCATTCGCAGCTGCAGGCCAGACCATCAATTTCATGCAAAACATCTATCGATGGTTCGTGCTGCATAATACAAGCAATACGACCCAGCACATCCACAAAAAATGGCCTGACACTCGGCAGTTTGACGATGCTGAAGATGCAAGACTGGAGTGGCTCGAGGTCACGCTGCCCATGTACTTAGATGAACTGGAAAAAAAGGTGTCGAAGTCAAAAGGAATTTTTGACGAAAGAAACGTAAGAAGCATTCCTCCTGACCACATATTCCACAGTTGCCTATATCAAGTAGCTGCTCACAGAGGAGAAGTTCTTGTTTGTGCTCACGTGTAAGTTTAATAGTGACCCCATCGAGTCGCTGTTTGGATCACTGCGGATGTCCTCTGGCTGCAATGACATGCTGAATGTTCGTTCTGTTTTGCAAGGGCTGGAGAAGGTTTTAAAAACTGGACGTGCCGCATCCAGCATAGCATCAGACGTTTCACACAGAGAATTTGCCCAAATGTCAACAGGCACACTGCTCACTGAAGCTTCTCCTTCGCTAACACAACAGCTGCCTCAGCTACAGAGAGCTGCATGTGTTTTGCAACGGCTCAATGCAACAGTCTTGCCTGAGCACTTGCCGTCATTTGAGATGTCTGCAACTGTTTATGTTGGGGGCTATATTGTCCACGTCATAAAAGAGCACATGTGTTGTGGAAGTTGCACTGCTGTCTGCACAATCCCAGCGAGCAATCAACCTATCTTGCAGTTCACCCGCAGCCAGGACCGAGGTGGGCTACTTTACCCGTCAGACCAGTTGCTGTTTGCCGTTGACGTGCTAAGGGCATTTGCGGATCGTGCTCTGAAGGACAATCCGACTCTAAAAAATCCATTGTCTACCCTGGTTAAGTATGCTGTGCCAGCACTGTGTGCTTCAAACCTGCTCAAGTGCAAGGAGATGGATGACACTCACAGAGCTAAGCCCATGGAGCTGATATCTGTTCGCTTTTTGCGGCCCCTGCTGGTGAACTATGCATTCACTGTCAGTGACAAGCATGATGCTTTCAAGTACTTCGCGAAAAAGCCCCTGTCAAGAAAATATGCAAAACTGTGAGGCTACTGCAAAAATAGAGGTACTTACAAATAAATGTTCCTTCTTTTTTCAAAATGTATTCATATCGCATCAATTGGGTTGATTTTGCAGAATAAAGAGCTGCTACGCATGGCAAGTCAACGTTGGAAATTCTTGTATATCTAGTCTAAGCATGTAGGTGCGTGCGTACACGGCATGTTTTTGGTATTCATTTAGCGAAGCGCTCTTCGCTTGCGGCTAGTGCGTGAAAGCTGGCACCCAGATCCCTGAAACACTCAGTAACATAATTCAGTGATTACAGCCCCGATATATTGAGGTTTGAGAGCAGAACATTAAGGATTTATTCTGTTTACTTTTCAGCGTGGAGCCATAACCACGGCGGCTGCGGCACGTAGCGAACTGCGGCACCCTGTTTAGGCGGCGGCGCCAGGTGTCGAGGCGCCGCACTCGCGCCGACGGAGTAGTCCCATTGTTCTCTTCCGCTTTTACCGGGCACTGAAAGTTATAAAGGAGGTGTTATGTCTTGCCGCTCATAAGTTGATCGTGTGGAAGGGACAGCACCAGAAGCTACGTTATTCAAAGCTTCTTTCTCGGATCTCTCTCGGCAAGGTCGCAAATTGCTTCCTTTGAGCATGGGACGACAGCGCGGGAAGCTACGTTATACAAAGCTTCTTTCTCGACTCTCTCTCGGTATGCCCATGTAACTATACACCACTTATCCTCTGGAATGCAAACTACATCCGTCTCCTCCGCTGCCGGGGGCAAACACACAATGTGAAACGAACCCGCTCTGCCAACCGGCTTGGAATGTTTGTGATTTAGAGACAAGTCGCCGCTGCCGGGGGCAAACGCACAATGGGATTAAGCGACCCCGTCCTGCCTCCGCGCCGGGCGCGAGCTCAGTGGGAGTAGGCGACACGCTCTGCCCTGGCGATCGGCTCAAAGTCGCAGCGATGCACGACCCGAACACAAGGAAAGCGGAGAAAGTCCGCTTGCTACCTGCGGGGGCAATAACGTTCCGCACGCAATCACTTAACTGATAGATCGGTGTGGCGAGAGAGAGACATGACGGGAAAGAGTACCAAAATGCCTGTTTAAACTGTAGAAGCGCTGCTGTCGAGAGTAAGGTCAGCGCAGTAGGGAGTGACTTAATCTGAGTGGAAACAGATTGGATGAGAGAATGTTGAGGCGGACCAGCAGTGGCAACCTCCCCCTTTTCTTTGTTACCGCAAGATACTTAGGACTGGATGGAATCCGTTTCTCTTGAGTCGAGGCTGCAATAACTTAACTGATAGATCAGTACGAGTCCGTACGATGCAACTTTTGTCTGGGCCGTAACCACTTGGTGGTCGAACAGTGAGACTAAGTACTTTGTATGTAGTAACAGTGTTCTAGGCTCTAACTTAAGAAAAGTTAAGTAGAAGAGTAAGACGCTGTTGATGTCTGTGTTATCATGAGTGTGCTTCGGCAAGATGTACATATGACTGTAAATACTTCGCTGTAATATACCTTCAAGTTTTCATTACCTCCAACCTGCCTCCTGCTTCATTACCTCCAACCTGCCTCCTGCATCATCCCCTTGACGGGACTTCAATCCATATCAAGGAGATCAACGAACGAGAAGGAAAACTTTCCTGGAGGCACTGTCCATAATATATTTCATTCTTCAAGAAACTTCTTGAAAACGACATGTGCTTTTTTCTGAAGACCTGCAGTTGGCCATGCATCTAGTATTTTCGTGACTGTGAAGGGCCTCCTATCTAAATGTTGCAAACTTCCTCGTAATACTTTTCTTCATGTTTTATATTTCAGGCCCTTCAGAAGCAGGCGACATACATCTTCGTCAGGGTGGCCGCAGGAGCACTCTGTATTAGGCGCACGTTTCATCCTGTGTAGGAAGTGTCGTGTAAAGGCTGTACCAAGCCGTAGGTGGTGTTTCAAATCTATTTTCTCTAGACTCTTATGGGATGCCTAGTTTTTTGAAAGAAATTAATACATATAAGTATGAACTTTTGGATTTTTCATCGAACCATTTGTCTTTGGTGACGCTACAGGTTATCTGTCTGAGAAGTAGACGCATTTCAGTGTGTAAATTTAGCACAATTTTCCCTTCATTAGAAGAGAGTTTTAGTACTGCGGAATGGTGCTACGTACGCATCACGCAAGTGCCTTGCGTTACGTGGCGTCGTTTGCCACTAATCGGCTTTTAGTACGCCGTAGTACTCGCGTACGTAACGAGCGTGAAGCGTGTTGCGCCACCTGGTAGATCAAAATAGAAGCAGGTGTTGTTGACAGCCAATGTGAGCCAATCCAAGTGTTATAGCCAGATTATGGCCACATTTTAAGCCACAGAGCCGGTCGGTGCTTGCCTTCGATGCCGCCATTTTGCAAAACGAAGTCTCGCGCTGTCGCGAACTTGTTCGAGAGCGGCGCGATCACCTCATACGTATGCACGCACGCATCTCATGCGTGCGTAAGTAGCGGCTGCGTACGTAATGCGATACGTGCGCGTTGCGGTCTGCGCATGCGCATTTTGCAGAACGTGGCGTCCTTACGCATGCAACGCTGCCACGTACGCAGCGTACGCAGTACTAAAACTCTCTATTGTGGGCCCTATATGCCGCGGCGTCCGCTGCAGTGTTTCCTGGAATGCTGCAGTTACCTTATTATCACTTCAGGCAAACGCCTGGGTGGTCGTTTGAATAAGTCCTGGACAATTCTAATGTAGGCCGAAGGATTAAGTCATTAAGAAGCGTCGATCTGGCGGCTCGATGCTACACGAGAAAGCGAAGTTTACTTTGGAAATGATGGCAGTGTCAAACAACAGACTTGCAGCCCACATATGTTTTCAATTTTGAGCCCCTCTCTTATCAATGGACCACGTTGTCTTCCTGGAAACAGCATCAGTGGTAACGTCATAGCAAATTACTATGAAACGACTAACCTACGCATGTGCAAGTGTGCTTGGAAGTAAACAACGTGAGAGACGCAGCCATTCCATAGCATCGGCTGGCGCATCCACTTATCGAAAGTGGTAGCAAACTGGCCGAGGGTAAGAGTAGGGAGGGTCTAAGTTGTATTATGACTTGTTTTAATACATAGCAGTACTGCTTAGCTTGAAAACATTGCTTTAAAAATAGTATGAGCACCGCTTTGGGACAATCGTATTTCTGGGCAAGCCACTGGTACCCAGGCTACACACTTCGTCGCAGCGATGTGAGGTTGGGGAAAACACTCGAAAGCAAGTGTACTTTGCAGTGAGAATTAAGCCCTGAAATTTCCCGTGGGGCAGCGATAAACTACAATCCCAGGCCTTAAGCGCACCTTTGAAATTAGTTTGTTTTGGCAGATTTGTTAGCCTTTTGGCCGGATGTAAGAACGAGCTTGCTGGTGGTGACGCATCGTGAAAAGTCGTGGTGCGTAAAAAAATACGTGGTCTAAGAAAGACTACGGGTCGGGGCATCGTCCCGTTACCTTTCTTAGTACTGTTATTTTCGTGCGCCACAAGTTTTCACGATTTAGTGTCCTTTTTTGTGTCATAGCCAAGCAATAAGCAATGTATAACATTTATTTGCTCCCTTAAGGTGTCACGATAAATGCAGTACTCACCTTAAATAGTTTCCCCAAGTGGCTGGTGGCCGCACGAACTGTTCGTGGCTGGTTCTTGGCGGAGCACCCAAGAGAGGGCTCCTGGGAATTGGGTCATCGATTCGAGTTTCGTTACCAGTTGGACCTGTCGGCAGAGAATCGCAAGTTTTTGTTGGTCACTGTGTGATATGCAACGCTGTGCTAAAACATTGCACTAAAACAAGTCAATCAAACGAAAAGCTTTATCCAAGTGAGTGCTCTTGGGCAATTCGGTACACTGGTGTTATGGCAACGCACTCCCTCATAAAACTGCAGATTAATTCGACCATGAAAGTAACTACAAGAGTTAATTGATAGATATGTGGGGTTTAACGTCCCAAAACACCCATATGATTATGAGAGACGCTGTAGTGGAGGGCTCCGGAAATTTCTACCACCCGGGGTTCTTTAACGGGCACCCAAATCTGAGCACACGGGCCTACAACATTTCCCCATCCATAAAAAATGCAGCAACCGCAGCCAGTATTCGATCCCACGAGACCGCAATCAAAATGACGTCACAATATGTGAATGAATTGGTGGATGCAAAACAATATCGCTAATGCCGATGTGCATGGCTTAGCGCGCAGCGGGCGGCTCCTGTGTTGGGACTTAGAGAACAACACGTTTCTTCGCAACAGCAACATGGCTCGGGTTCTGATTTTGTAGTCGGGGTAAAAGGTCTGCTATACCATCAGCCTCAAGTGACACCCGCCCCGCCGCGGTGGTCTAGTGGCTAAGGTACTCGGCTGCTGACCCGCATGGCGCGGGTTCGAATCCCGGCTGCGGCGGCTGCGTTTCCGATGGAGGCGGAAATGTTGTAGGCCCGTGTGCTCAGATTTGGGTGCACGTTAAAGAACCCGAGGTGGTAAAAATTTCCGGAGCCCTCCACTACGGCGTCTCTCATAATCATGAAGTGGTTTTGGGACGTTAAACCCCACATATCAATCAATCAAGTGACACCCGAACAACGGCATGCTTTTGCGATACTTTAGTGCGCACCGTCTACTTATCACCACGGACGGCTACGGAAATGCGCGCAGAGCTGCCAAACAGGATGCACGTTCCAGTCAAAGGTGATAACTGGACGGTGTGTACTATACCATCACGGACGCTTGTAGCTGTTCGGGCTTCATCCGATACTGATGGTACGTGATAAAAAACGAACGCATCGGACATCATACGTGTGCACCAGTCGCTCTGTACAAGTTTGCTAAGTGTCGCTTTGATGGACCACTGAATGTGAATTTTCATCAAAGGAACATGATCGCGATCACTGGAGTGGGCGCAATCTCTGCGAATTTTTCGCATACTCTTGTAGGTGCTCTGTACTTTCACTACTTACATCGCGTTGACACGACATAGAGCACTAAATTCTTTTATCTCCTGCAACAGTCGTATTTCCTTACACTATAGCGTTTGCTACTTCGTATAGGAAAAAATTGTTGCCATAGGATTTATTGCTTCGGGATAAAACAGATTTTTGCTTTCGTTATATTGTCACGGGGTCGTGACGTGGCCGAAGACAGGAGACTTCTTCTTGGGATTTAACTGTTTATTTGGGCGAACCTGTGCCCGGTAAACAGAAAGTCCAATTACAGCAGCAGTCTCGCACAGATAGCAGTCTCAGACTGATAGCGGCGAACGGAGCGTCGGCCTTCGATCAACAACTGACAAGCGGCGAAGCGCGTCGGCATTTATACTCCCGCCGTCGAATGTTCTAGCGCTACCGCTGGCGGCGGCGTACGTTCCAGAACAATCTACCATTCGCACAGTGGGCGTGATCTTATCGAAATGATCTACTACAGTCCGGAACCCTCTCACGCTGAGAATCGTGTGGTGTTTTCGACGATAACAAAAGCTTGGGAAATGGAACGTGGCAATATATATATATATATATATATATATATATATATATATATATATATATATATATATATATATATATATATATATATATATATATACATATATAGAGAGAGAGAGAGAGAGAGAGAGAGAGAGATAGGTAATGTGGGGTGTAACGTCCCAAAACCAAACATGATTTTGAGAGACGCCGTTATGGAGGGCTTCGGAAACTTAGACCACCAGTGATTCTTTAATATGCAGTCGAATCTGTATACACGTGCGTACAGCCTTTTCGCCTCCATAGAAAGTGCTGCCGCCGCAGCCAGAATTAGTTCCCGCGACCCACGTGTACGCATCCGAGTACTGATTTCGTTATTGTTAAGTGAATATTTGTCAATCCGCTGTTTTGCGGACATTGCATTTATTGATTGGCGCATAGCGTTGTTAGCGATGATGTACCAGTAAGCTAAATTACCGGAACTTTTCCAGCGTAAGACAATATATGACTATAAGATACATGTTGCGTGGCACTTCGAATTAATTTGACTTTTTCAGTGTGTTTTTCGTGCACCTGAATCTATGCACTCTTGCGTTCTTTGGCTCGGGCCCTGTCGAAACACGGCCGCTGTTGTTAATGGAGCACAGACTCTGCTGTAGTATAAAGCGGGAGCTTGCTCACTAAAAAATGAAAGAATGCGTTAAACCTGGACAAAGCATTGTTGGCCAGATTGGACAGATTGAGGAGAAATAGTGTGAAGGATTGGACTAGGAGAAGAGAGAAGGAATATAGGTACGGTATGGATAGAATAATTACAGTATGCTACCCTATACAACTGTGTAGAGGAGGATTGGGAAGTAAAAGAAAGAGAGAAAAATGCACACTGCACACCACACACCCACTGCTGGGTTTCCCAGGTGATCGATTAGTGTTGTTGGCTTCACATACTGCAGTGGGGTCCACGTGACCTGCCAGCCTAACGAAAACCAGCAGTTGGCCGTCATGGCTACTTGCAGCGCTGACTGATGCCCCCATGTAAAAATACACAATATTTCACACAAAGAGAAAGGAGGGATGACTACCACCGACGCTATTTAGTAAAGCACCGTATGCGTTATTCAAAGGGCGCTGGGTAGGTCCCAATAAGCGAGAAGCTATCTCGTTCGACAGGTTATGTTTTTGCATATACTTTAAAATTAGTGCAGGTAACGTCTCACAAAATCACCTTTAAATTCTTGTCGCTTGGTTTCTATCACTGTTTAGCCTAACAAAACAGCCTTTAAAATTCACCTCATTGTCTTCATTCTGTCTCTGGCCTCAAGGCAAATCAAAGGGAGTGACCTTGAAGAACATACAATGTCCTTGGCCACATTATTGTCCTTGATGTTTATACGGACCATCACAGCAACGGAAAAAAGTAAGATATAGCAGGAAGAGAAAAACACTTAGTGAAGGACGCCTACTCGAGGAGGGGAGTGTTCGATCCACTTGACGGTGCTGAAGATTCGATGGCTGGTGGTCTGAGGTGTCCTGAGGAGTCCTGTAAGCGCAAAGCACAGAAACGTGGTCAGGTTTTCGTTTAAAACCGAAAATAACAAAAGCAGCTTTATGCCAAAGTGGGAAATTATGAGCAAAGAGGCTTGCGCCAGTGCGGGGAGCAAGCAAGTGAGGCCTCGCGGTATGTTTTAAGCACTTATGCTACTTCAGCCGTTAGCAACTAACAAACAGTGCATCTTTTTCATCTACACGCTTGTGAGAACACTCGATGACTAACAAGCACTTGTTATCAGAACCTAACAAATTACGGGGGTAGGAAGCATGTTATACTCAAGAAAAACAATACATGATGTCGATTGTTTTCCACTTCCCTTTTCAGAGCAGTTGAACTTTTTGGTAAACGCTTATATATCATGGGCATAAGTAATCCTCATTTCTCTGGAGAGTTCTATTTAGCCTTGAAATTGCGAGCCTGGGCTTTGAAGTCAATAAGTACGTGCGTTGTCTTTGCCGAAAGCTGCAATGTGGGCTTGTTGGTCATGCATCAGACAAAAATTCTTATTTGTAGCGCGAAGCAAAATACGGGAACAGCAAGGCGCATAAGCGCTCTATTCTGTCCTTTTGTGCCTTCCGGTTTCTGTATTGTGCTTCACACTACAAAAAATTGTCAAGTATTTCTTGCATCACTTTAGAAATGAAGAAAAAAATTATAAATGAAAGATAGGCAAGTTAACCACAACTGAGCCTGATAGGCTACCCTGCACTGGAAAAAAGGGAAGAAAAAAAGGAAAGTTAAAGAGAATGAGAAATAAGCCCAGCGGCCGCCTACGCAACAGCAGTTTCTCGCCTGACATCGCAGACGGTGAGGTCAGTGCCATCACTGAAATCACAGCAGCGCATTTGTTGATTTACGCAGCTTGTAGGCGCAGTCCGATACATCCGAAATCTTGTTGACGGGGAGGCTGTGGTGGTGCGGCAGTTATAGCCGTACAGCGGCAAGGCAGACACCGCTATAGCATCCGTGTGTATTTCTGTTGGAGCGTCTGAATCGAAACGACGCAGTATGGGTAGTGTTGTGAGCAGTTCAAGGAGCTTCGCAAAGAATGGAGACCAAGCGGATAGATTGTGGTCTCCCTGCAGTAGGTATGTCAGAGGTACCATGATCGAGACAAAATCGTGGACGAAGCGGCGGAAGTATTTCACGACTGGAAACCTAGAACGATGGATACTCTAGAGCGTTAGATTATTTTTACACTATCTCTGAATACCTGTCCCCATGCTGCGCTCTAATGCTTAGTTGGCGTGTTATCGGAAGCATTGACGACCAAACGGTAGCATCTACTGACCGTGCCGAAAAAGTGTGGCAAAGCAACTTCAAGTTCCATAGGAGGTGTCATTAATGAAACCGCGAGTTTCCCGCATAGCTTTCGTATCAGTGTTGTACACGAGAATGCGGTGATAGTAGAGATAAGGAAGCCATAGCCATGGCAAAGGCCCTCATGAACATCATTTGTATACAGTTTCCTAGCCTTAACAGTCCGGCTGCTAAGAATGAACTTTAGTTAGTGGATGCGCTGAAAAGGGTGCTATCAAGTCAATGAAGCTTCGATATTTCAGTGGCATGCCCGAGGCCTCAAGCCCAGCATTTATGATATTCTTTCGCTAACTTTTGTCTTTTCTTTCTCTCTCTCTCTCTCTCTTGGTGTAAGTATTATCTATTTCCTATTATCTGTTACTCCCCTTACCCCTTTCCCTAACACAGAGCCAGCTGGTCTTGTAATTGGGTAACCTCCCTGTCCTTCCACCCATTTCTTTCTTCGTGTGTTACAGAATGAAGGACGCTGTGACGGTTAGTCTGGTTTGGCGGCGCGTACAGTGACCAGTTATCTTCGAAAGAGGCACTACGTCACGCAGTTAGGCCATTAGTTTGCGGATGATAAGCCGTTGTCATACAGTAAACCAAGTTGCAGTGAACGAGCAAGACTTGGAAATCTGACCGCTAAGTAGATAATCTGCCACTCAAAACTTCACGGGGTACACCATTTCCCAAGAAAAAGTTGCGTATGATGAAATGCAAAGCCTTTTTTAACTGTTTTCACAGACAGTGCGACAGAGGGGTAAAGGCGAAAGAGAAGGGGGGGGGGCAGCCCCACACATTGACGATATAATGCCACGTTTCATTTCCCACGTTTTCGTTATCGTCCCAAAACACCACATGATTCTCAGCGCAAACCGCGCCCGCAGTTTTCGAGAAGGTTCCGGACTGTAGTAGATCATTTCGATAAGATCACGCCCACTGTGCGAACGGTACAGATTGTTCTGGAACCTACGCCACCACCAGCAATAACGCTAGAACATTCGACAGCAAGAGTATAAATGCCGACGCGCTTCGCCGCTTGTCAGTTGTTGATCGAAAACCGACGCTCCGTTCGCCGCTATCAGTCAGAGACTGCTATCTGTGCGAGACTACTACTGTAATTGGACTTTCCTATTACTGGGCACAGGTTCGCCCAAATAAACAGTTAAATCCCAACACGAAGTCTCCTGTCTTCGGCCACGTCACGACCCCGTGACATCTGGTGGAGGTGCTGCTTCGTTCATGTACCGGACGCCCCCGTCAAGCCGTGAACCCAGCCCACGTCACGGAGAAGACACCGACGCCAACCAGGAGCAGCGAACAAGCCGCCGACAGCTAGGGCTACCACCGGAGTACGGGCTTCTACAAGACAAGGCGCGGAAGACCAAGGCCATGACCGCGACTGCAGCGACAATGACAACCGCAGCGTCCCAGCCCACGATGGTCATGCATCAACCCAGGAAAACACCAATTTTCCATGGGTCATCGTTTGAAGACCCGGAAACCTGGCTAGAAACATACGACCGTGTGGCCGCCCGCAACCACTGGGACAACGAAGAAAAGCTCCGTCGTGTGTATTTCTACCTGCAAGACACCGCAAGGACCTGGCTAGAGAATCGTGAGTCCACGCTCCGAACGTGGGATGTATTCTGCGGCGCATTTCTGCAAACGTTCGTGAGCGTCACTCGCAAAGAGAGGGCCGCTGCTCTACTAGAGACCCGGGCTCAGCTACCAAATGAGAAGGTTGGAATTTTCACTGAGGAGATGACTCGCCTATTTCGTCACGCTGACCCAGACATGCCTGAGGAGAAGAAAGTTCGTTTCCTCATGCGAGGGGTCAAACAGGAGCTCTTCGCGGGACTAATGAGGAATCCACCGAACACCGTCCAAGAATTTGTATTCGAGGCGACCACCATCGAAAAAACCCTTGACATGCGCACCAGACAGTATAATCGTCGCCTGACTCCAGAATGCGCTGCTGCTCAAACCAGTGACTCCGAAAACCTGCGTGAAACGATCCGAGCGATCGTGCGGGAAGAGCTGCGCAAACGGTTGCCTTCGGCGCACCCTCAAGTGGATTCGATCGCCGACATTGTGCGAGAAGAAGTTCGGCAATCACTTCGAATTCCCTAAACACCGCTGCCCGAGCCAGAAACTATGAGCTACGCCGCTGCAGTGCGCCACAACGCTCCTCCCCGTCCACGCCAAAACGCCGCCCCGTCGCACTTCCGTCGCCAGACACCACCGCCGCCACCACTCCCACCGACGACCTACCGTTCACCAGCGGGCCAGCGCAGTGCGCCGAGGAAAACCGACGTTTGGCGCACCCCTGACCACCGCCCACTGTGCTACCACTGGGCGAGGCCCGGCACACTTACCGCCGTTGTCAGTACCGACAGATGGGACTGCGTGGCTTCGCCGTCGATGCACCACGTCCGAAGCCAGGGGAACAGCCACGTGACATCGCCGACTACCAGACAGGAACTCAATGGACACCCTGACGTTCTTCCCGTTCGCCGTCGCCCAGCCGCCGCATGTCACCGCACCCCCGGCAGTACTCCGGCCCAACGCAAGGCCGGTGTAAGGAATGGACACAAAAGTGCTGTGTTTAGGTACGATTTGTGGCTAAAAGGACTTGCAAGCGCCGAGGAACGCCAAACCGAAACTAAAGAAGACGAGCGGAGGGCAGGTGGCACGAAGGCGATAACAAGAAATGAAAAAGAAGAGGAGAAGAAGAAGGAACGTGGAAAAGCGAGCTCGAGCGTGGAGGCCACGAAGGCAGAGGAAGCAGTGCGCCGCTCGAGCTGGACGAGTTCCTGGGAGCGTTCCTGAGCCGGACGTGGGACCCGTACGTGTCGGCCAGGTCGAGCTCCGGCGTGTTCGTTCGGGGTCGAGTCCGCCGGCCTGTTCAAGGTGCAAGGACGGGGCCTGCTGAACGGCTCCTGCCTGGGTGCAGTGGCCGGGAGCAGGTTCGTGGCGAGGCCTACCGGGCGTGGTCCTCGTGAGCCGGGGCCTGACCCTGAACCTCAGGAGTTGCGACCCTGACTGCTGGCCGCGACGTCTGACTAAACGGCGCTGCACACGGTAGCGCATCCGTGTGCCGTAAGCCGTTCCAGCCGCTCCAGCCGTGCCACCTTTGCCCTCGCGCACGTCGACAATCGCATCATGTCGGGACGACGGGGACCCAAACTGTGAGGCAGCGTTTTCCTCTTGTGAACTGAGAACTCTACGCGCTGGACTCGGAGTAAGCGTAGCCGCGAGCTCTCCGCATGCTTGAGGTCTGACTCTCGTACATGTTGCGTGACGCTCGGCGTGTAGGGTTGGACATATAGTTTTATTTTCGCCTGCCATGACGTTCTCTAGTGTACAATATAACGCTTCTTTTGTTCGCATCCATTGTTGATGTTAATCCTTTTTCGTCCGCTATAAACAAACACAGTGACGAACGTCCTTAACCATCACAATTTCTGGCGTCCGCGAGCCAGGACTAAGCTCTCGCCTTACATCTGAGAGCCTCACGTTGTTTGTGTGTGGCGGACGAGAATGGACGACAAGAGGAAGCTAGTTGAGCTAGGGAAGGAGATGGGGCTGAGTGGTGAGGCTTTGCTGGCATGGGTGAGCGCTGAGGAAAAAGAAATGAGGGACCAGAGAGCGAAAGATCGAGAGGAGGCACGGCTAGCAGCACA